GACCTAGAGCTTATTATGTTTTAGGCAACATGTGAAAAGCCATTAACTTATATGCAGTGCATTAAGAGATGAACACGGTGTCCGCATGGACGACTGTCTGTGCCGAGAGCCACGCTGTGTCCAGACAGCAGGCAAAAATGATTTGTTTATCAAAGCTGCTTTGTACAGCTAATCTGATTTCTGCAGAAGTACCTGTGCCCTTGCAACATTAGTTGTTATAGTAACAATGCTCGCAGGTGCATGCATGACTAAAGGTCTGTTTTTAAATCTAAAAAAATCTATCCTCAGTTCCTGTTCCATCCCTGGGTGCAGAGGTAGATATTTTTGTTTTTTTAAGGGAAATCTTCTTTTATGGCTTTTTCGCTTTTTTTTTTTTTAGCACAGTTTGAAGTGTGCGTATCCACAAGTATGGCTGGATCAGTTTGGTTGGCCAATTTGCAAACTAAATCCTTCATTACTGGTCCTATTCATGGACTGGTGACATCATCAGGTACGACCTGGATGGTTTTTAGGCCAATGCGTTTGTGTGTGTTGATTTCTGTTGGGCAATCATTGTTAGCATCAAAAATACCTGTACCTTGTTTGGGTTGTGAGACACCTGGTAATTGTTTCAATATTGGCTTTGCAGCTGACCGTGGCACTTTTCCGATGCAATTATTCATCTGATTTCTTTTTTCTCCTCAGGTGGGACCTCCTCAAGCTCATCGACCAGAGAGAGGATACAGCCTCTCCATCAGGGAGCCAGGCTCATGGCACCGTCCCCGCTCCAGCCCCCAGTCAATACCCAAAAGGGCTGCCCGGTTTCCCGAGACACCAACCAGCCACAGGAGTAAGAGCTTCGCCAAACCTGGCATGGGCACGACCCAGTGAGGCTTCGCAGATGGAGAGGAGGGTGCAGAGAGCTCGTCGCCATGCCCACTTGGGATCACGAGGCGGTCACCACCACCCCCAACTGATGAGAGTGGGCTGCGTCCTGGGAACATGCCAAGTGCAGAACCTTAGCCACCGGCTCTATCAGCTCATTGGTCAGAGTGGCAGAGAAGACTCATCTCCAATCAACCCCCGGAGCCCACATAGTTATGGATGAGTTAGTTGACACCTCCAAACACCCACAGCAAGTCTTATCTATATACCCATTTATTTATCTCTTAATGTGTTACTGGTAGCTTTTGCATTAGAGTTGATGTAGTCCATTTGTTTATCTGTCTTAAAATGACAATTATACTCCTCATAAATGACTGTTGTGCGTCTCTACTCTTTGTGCTGATTGATGGATTTGAAGACTCAAATTCAAGATCACGACTGACTGAATTGTCTTTGAAACACCCAATTTGAGTTCTCCCACCATCCTGAGAAGGTTTGCCTTTTGAAGGACGTTCAAGTCTTTTTGGTTCGCCCTCCTGAATGCTCAAAAGAAGCCAAGAGGCCTCAGTTTGACATCTTAATCCTGTTAATGTAAGAATGAAGGGTTGTCCTCAACACCATTCAGTGGCCTGGTCCTGTCTGCCAACTGATCACGCCAGTGGTGGTTATCCCGCGGCTCATTGATCAAACACTTAAGCCCCTAATGTGGATTGCAGCCTGCACTCGGAGCCGGAGCCCTGTTAAAACCAATGTATTTCCAAAGATCTCGTAAATGACCAATGAACCCTTTCACCTCTTTTTTTGTGCCCTCCCCTTGTCAACTTTGGAACTCCCAAGACGTTTCGCAACTGCATATACAATTTCAATATGAACACTTGCATCCCGGGAGTATTCCACAAGCTTTCAGTTGAACTGGGGATTCATCACTCAGCAAGACTTTGTCTTTCAGGACCACAGTTTACATTTGAAACCAGCCTCAGAACTCAGGTTACACCCGAGTTTAAGAGCATTCTGAGTCAGGACCTAACCACAAAAACTCCATGCTGAAAATGAAAGAAAGAAGGTCAGCATCCAGTGACTTGGAAGGAATCTACACAAAAACTGACTTCCCAAAGGATCAGTTTCAAAGTTGCATTATGGTGGCCTGTTGGCCCACACAATAGGTGGCAAAGTGAACCTTGGAGCCCAGATCAGAGCTCCGTCGTACTACTGCTGGCATTTCCCCTGCAGGGGGCCAAGTCTGAAATATTAGCCCTTTCACGTGATTCATAAGTTCCCCTTGCAAGTGAGGACTTTGGGTTGACAGCAGTTCATTAAACCTCACCTAATCACTTCAGTCATCTGTACCGCCACAGCAGGGGGGGGGGCCTCCTATGGTCTACACATTCAACACTAATAAAGAAAGAAAGAGCAAGGCATGTGGCATCCTCACTAAAGCACAAATGCAGCCTTGTAGTAGATCGGTTCACCAAAAATACAAAAACCCCAACAATTTTCTCTTATTTTTTCGGCAATTTTCAGATTTAGAATCAGAATCAGACTCAGAAATATTTTAATAATGCCAGGGGGAAATTACTTCTCCTAATTCTCCTATCTTTGCAGCATATTTAGGAGATTTACCAGAGTAACATGGATTCTTACTAAATAAATTTTAAATTCTAGTTATGTGAGCACCACAGACACAATTTCAATCATAAAACATTGCTTAGGTGAGAAAATATGTGGGGATTTTTTTGTTTGTCCTATGTTATTTTGTTAAACCAACCCTTTAAGTGCCAAAAACAAAATAATTGCTTACATTTTACAAAATAATTACTCTAAGTGTTTAAAATTGTTGGCAAATCCACCAATAATAAGTCTAATCTTCTAATAAAACATATTTGCCTTGATATGGTGGATAACAGTAATAAGAAGGAATGGATAAACTGTTCCTTACATTTTCTATAGGCAATACCTACAACACATTGTAGTATATACATACACAATTCTGTTGGCAGCAACAGCCGCCCTTGTTGTTCACATGTAGTATGTAAAATGGGTTTAAATTAGTCCTGAAACGCCGGCTAAAAGCTCCACTGTTACACTGCGGGTTTCTAATGACAGACCACAGCAGTCAAAATGTTAGGTGTAAGAGTGCCCAATTTCAAATATGCGCGCAAAATAGCGCCGCGGCATCAAAAATACATGCCCCGATGAAATGGTGGGTGGATGACGGACTGAGAATAACTGAGGTCAAGTTCTACTCATCCAGCGTGCTACAATTTGACAGGACCTTAAACTTTCCAAAAAATGCAATAAAACCCTTCTAACGAGAAACTTAATTATATTCCATATTATTTACATACTTCTAAAGTTCTATTCCAAGACTTTTATTATATGGTAGCCTCTTTAATGCGCAGAGAGCGGTTGTTTCATAGTAGGAATTCCTTGTGATTTATGTGCACGGTCATTTAGATTAATTGTTCAATCACAGGAGTGCTTTAGTCTTTGTTATTTGCGTATCATTTCACAAACATGAGAGTTCGGTATTCCTAAGAGCATTAGTGTAAACTCACCAAATACCTGGCAATACTTGACGTATCAAATTACTTTACAGTGTGTGATCTACATTATATAATAATGTGTTCTTTTCTATCTTAATCTGTGTCTTCTGATTTTACTTTGTGTCTTTTTCATCAACAGCTTCTTTTAACATTTAGTCTCTCAGCCCCATCCTGGCTCTCTTCTCTCTGTAATTGGGGGGGGGGNNGGGGGGGGGGGGGCTTGAGGTCACAGGGTAATAACCAGTGGTTCTTTAGTCTTAAATCTAATCTGTTCAAAGGCTTGCTGAGGTGAAACATGCCATTCTCTCTGCTGTAATGGAGCTAATCAATGTCTCGTGACGGATCATTAAAAGGCTTTTCAAACGCTCTAAAACCCTGGTGGATCTCTCTACTTTTTAAAATGTACTATTTCACACACACAGGATGTGTGTGCGTGTTGTGATTGTAAGCCTATCAGGACACTTATCTCCTGTGTGTTGATCTGTGTCTGTGCTCTGGGACCATTGTGCCCCAGTCTTTTTTTTTTTGCTCAGTATGTTTTTGTGACGTCTGGCATTGCGTCAACGTCGAGTTGTGTGAGCAAACTGTGCACGACCGCTAATACCTCCCCGCAGAAACGTCCAGAGCTTTCACGGCTCGCAAAGAGGAATGAGTGCAGAGTTAGCACATAAAATGTTTCTGTTAGTTTTGTAAGATAGGGCATATTTTCCATTTGAAAGTCACACGATCTCCTTTAGGGTCACAGGAAAGCACTTTAATGCAAACACGCGTGTGGATAGTTTCTTGAATTTCACTCATTGTGATGAACTTGTGAAAGTTAGACAAGGTTCTTCTTGTAAATGTTGCATTTGAGATTGTCTGCGAATGTGTTTGAAGATGTCAGTGCACTCCATGTGGCGTCAGGATGACTGTGAACGTCGCGTGCACCTGTGAATATATATATATATTTAGCCAAACTATTTAAAAAACATTATGTATTTAAGTTATCTTTGTATGTTAATATCTGTATGTCACCAAAGACTATTTATCTCTTCCTTTCCACTGTTCCTTCAACATGACTTCATGGTGGGAGAGGAAGTCTTAACTGTAGTTTAAATGTTACTGTTTGATATGTCCTTCACTCTGTAAAATAAAGAACTATACTGTAGTGTGATGAAGTATGGAGTATGATTTAAGAGTGTGTGTGTGCATTCCTGAAGGACATAAAGACGTACATGTCAGAATCGCATGAGGCTTTGACACAAAATGCAAAATACAATTATTAAGTATATAAGATTTTCTGCTAAGTTCCACTCTCCTCCATGTTACTGTGCTCTTCACCTTGAACTGTTATGACCCAATAGTAAGTAATAAGTCAACCATTACAAGTCATTGCATGTTAAAACCAACAAATCTACTTGGGGGCAGAGGACAATGAATGAATCATTGAGAAACAAGAATTAGGACATGATCTGACGGCAGCCACGGTAATGGTAATGGTCGTATGACTTGAGTTAATGAGTGACAGGGGGTTCAACAGCAGACAAGCTATTGGATAATTTCTCCTCTGGTGAAGGAGAGGAGAGAGGGAGAACAAGGGGGGACAGGAAGGATTTAAGGATTCATATGTTTCCACTTTCGCCATTTTTACAGTATAGGCCAATAGCAAATTTAATTTTGAACACATTTATTGGAGGCAAAGATACTGTGGAAACAGACGGTTGACCATTTGAACCCAATTTTTTTTCCAGTGTTTGACTACATCATCACATACCAGGATCTGGATGTGCTTTTTGCAGGACTTCACTTAAGCTGATGGGTAACAAATGAAAAGAAAAACCAGCAGAACCTCCAGAGCAGTGCTCCTTGCCATAGATTCTCACAGTCTCTTGAACTCATCATTTTCATATTCAGTAAACACTCAGTGGAGCCTTGGGCCCTGTATAGAAGCGCCTGAATTTGTTATATATCTCAACATATTCAAAAAGGTTTGGGCTTCAATATAGCACCCAATTTTGAAACCCATTGAGTATTATCTATGACGAATCAGCCTCTCGGGCCACTTGATACATGAGAACTATGAGAAAGACACATTTTGGATCATCTCTATTAAGCTAAAATTATATTAGCTATAAAGCTAATAAAAAGCTAAATCGTAGTCAGATTATGGTCGATGGGTTCCGAGATTGCATTGCGGCCAATGAGTTCCACCTCTTTTGGTCTCCACACGGACTGCTTCCTGCATGCAACCAAAGCCCGCTCAAACATGATTGGTCAACACTGTTTGGACAACAAATGGATACCAGAACATTTCTTATGCCAAAATCTTGGTTTGCCTACAGATTCTACACTCATATGCAGATTATATACTACCCATCTTTATACTTGAATGACACTGAATGAAACACTATACTTTCAAGATGCTTCTTTTTGGCTGATCTGTTGCGTCAAATGAAACATTGTAGATGTCTGGGTCTGACATCCTGTGTTTTGGGATCTTACCTGGAATTTGAAATAAGATTTTGTGGGTTTGACTTTGTATACCATGCGGTTGTTTATAACAGGAAACCACCAAACTGTTGTGATATTTTGGCTCAGTATGTACGGATTGAAGCTCATATGTACCACCTACTAGTATGGGTAACTGCTAACACTGCGTGTGCTCCATTAAACATTGAGACACCAAACTGATGTCAGTCCTTCATCACACTCCAGGTAAGACAGCAAACAAGCTGAACCTTAATATGCTGAAGTAACAGAGCAATACTGGGATAAGTTAGTTATTGCTGGGATTATTTAATGTGCTGAATTTCAAATTGTAACCAGATACACTACTTG